ATCTGCCTCTGACCTCCACATACCCATGCCCACCTGCACACCTACAACTAGTTCAGATAGAAAATTAATTTTCTCCTAGTGACTCCTTTCAAGCCGACCGTGGAAGCTTTGGTTCTCAGAAGGCAGAATGGAGAAAAACACGTTGTACTGAAATGCTCCACAGAGAGGATCAAGCCCCCTCCGCAAATCACCTGGCTGCTGGGGAGTGATCTGGAGATCTCTGGTAAGTAGGAGGAGAGAAAGGCTTCTTTTTCTTTTGTTATGGCGCCCTCTGGTGGCCAGAGGTGCCCAAAGACACCGTTCAATAATACATCAGTTCAGACTCCAGAGAAATTAACCTTATAACAATCAATATTTTGTCTAATGTTAAAAGAATAGTTGTAAATCATGAATTTTTAAAATCATAGTATAAATATAAAGTGAGTTATTTATGACTTCTTAAAAACTGATAAAATCCCCTAAATTAAGTGGTGCAACACAAGCATAAGCTTTTTCACAGTCATAAAATTGGAAAGCTGTCATTATATGTGTACACAAGATATCCAGATTACCAAGTGGCTGTGTCCCAAGAAACCCCACTATAAGATGAAATCTCTTCATGAAAATCTCAACGCTCTAATTCACCAGATGTCAAACTACCTCATCAACCTCAGACATACTTTGAGCACTTACATTACCCTGCCTCTCAGCAAAATCACCTACTATAAAGCATGTGTCATAAAGAACTTTTGAGAATTATGTGTGTTTTTGATTCAATCATGTGCTGAAGGCAGCTAAAACAAAGAGCAACTACCTGTATCTCCGAGTGTGTGTGTGTGTGTGCATTTTAAGGTTAAGAAGTCCTAGGCTAGGGCATCTTAAGTCAGGGAGCATCTATAATTAAATGCATAAAGCCTTCCTCATATATGGATACTGTGTTGCACATACAGAGACAGACGAAAAGGTTATGAGAGGCAAATGTGATGGCTCATACATGTAATCCCAGCACCTGGAAGGCTGGGGCAAGAGGATTATATGTTTCAGACAAACCTGAGCTACATAGTGAGTCCCGGGCTAGTGTGAACCATAGATTAAAAATGTATTTAATACTGTATAGATAAAGAACCTACCTTTTTTTAAAAACCAGACATCTGTGGGCTTGGGGGAAGCACATAGTGTTGGCTGACATTTCAGCAGATGTTGCCTTTGCTAACTGAACAATGATCTGCCCTTAAGAGCTGCAAGGGACTGTGCACTGTCAAGAAAGCTGAGGGCTACATGGATTTCTAGATAGAAAGGCTTAAGACTCAGACCTGTCTTCCAGTTCAGCAAAATCTACTTCATACTAAAACTCCTTCATTACTGTAGCCTTCATGCATCCTGTGACTTTGTGTTTTGTGACAGTAAGTTACCCCTTCCTTTTTTTTTAAGGCCTTCAAAAAGTTACCCTTCTTGTGTAACCACTGTAAGATGTTTTTTTTTTTTCCCCAGTACAAAGTTTGTAGAAACTTACCTACTAGATGCTGCTTGTCTTCTGCCCATGCCCAATCCACACAAGGCAGCTGTCTGGATGTTAGACTCATCCAATAGAGTTCTGTAGCCATAACCTTTCTCGTCTCTTCAAACTGTTGTGTAGGTGGACTCCACCATGAATTTGAAACTGATGGGAAAACCTGTAACACCACCAGCACGCTCATAGTCCACACATACAGCAAAAACTCAACAGTGCACTGCATTATCCGACACGAGGGCCTGCAAGGAAGGAAACTGGTGGCTCCCTTCCAGTTTGAAGATTTGGGTAAGAAAAATGGTTTTGTTTAGCTGTCCTTAATTTAGCTTACTATTTCTTTATTGTCCTACTTTGCTTTCATGTTGCTGGGCTAAAACATTAACAAAAACAATTTAAAGGAGGAAAGAGTTTATTCCATCTTACAGCTCTTGGGTCACACTCTATCATCAAGGGAACTTGGGGCAGGAGTTCAAGGCAGGAACCAACAGACAGGAACTGAAGCAGAGGCTATAGAGGAATGCTGCTCAATGATTTGCTCAGCCTAATTTCTTATAGAAAGTAAGTCTTTCCACATCAGTTGTCAATCAATGCCTCATAGACATGCCTGCAGGCAATCTAATGGAAGGAATTCTTCAACTGATGGTGCCTCTTCCCAAGTGCATCAAGTTGACAACCAATATTAGCCATCACAGCTACCTATTGACTATCTAGAACCATTCCAGATCTCCAGCAAATGTTCAAAGTAGGTCATTAGTATCAGCAATTGGTGGCTTCTGTTTACTTATTATCTTTGGTGAGCCACAGAGATAATACAAATATTTTATTCATCCAATCCGTTAAAAAACAAGCTTGCTAGCAGAGAATGTTTTAAAGCACATTTACAAGTAAGCATTCTGATCCCTTTCGACTACACTATCTTCTGGGTGGAATGTAGGGAACATAAGAGTTGCCCTAGGAAGATGTCACATCTAGAAATTAATGTTTCTAGAGAACAGAGCAAGAAGAAGGATTAAATTCTCTGGGGACTGGTTTGCTTCATCTGTTTGGGATTGCAAATGAGGAACGTTTAGTTGCCATCACTAATTTGGGAGTGGGGTTTGTGGCATTGAGCCACAGTTCTCAAACACCTTGAATGTAATCACCTTCCACACTCGTGTGTGTGTGTGTATGTGTGTGGGTGGGTGTGTGTGTGTGTGTGTGCACGCATGCGCGCGTGTGCGCGCGCGCGCCCACGCACATGCACATGTGAGTGTGAGTGTGTGAATTGCACGCGCGCGTGTGCGCGCGCGCGCGCCCACGCACATGCACATGTGAGTGTGAGTGTGTGAATTGTCTGTTGGTGCAGGTGTAGGTGAATATATGTGGTCAGAGGCTGACATGTCTTCCTCAGCCACTGTTGAATCTTACTTTTTGAGACAGTCTTTCACTGAACCTGGGGGTCGCTGACCAGTGAGCTATATGGATCCACCTGTCTCTGCCTCGGGGTGCAGGGAGCACAGGCTCATGCTGTTCTGGCTTCTATCTGGGTGCTGGAGATGCTAACTTGTGTCGTCAGGCACTTTACCACTGAGCCATTGCCCAAACCTACCTTTCTGAGGACCACAAAGAAGTTTTATATATTTGAATTGTCTCTACTAATATTTGCCTGTTAATAATTAAAACTGAGAAATTTAAATTCCATGGTTAGGTTATTTTAAAATAATAAGTCTACTATATGTTAACAAACATTGCATAGTTTATGAAAAAATAACCATGTTACAAACATGTTAAGAAAATGGCTGCTTTTTTATTTTTTTAAATGCTCTCAATGTCTGGTTCCATGGAAAACAATGCAGTTCTCAGCAGTGTCTGCAGTCAATTATTTCTACCAAGTCATCTTGCTTGAAATAAACGTAGAACAGTTTGGCAGATATTCGAGGCCAGCCAGGCCTACACGGCAAGTCCCAGGTCTACTAACGCTATTATATAGGAAGACTGTCTCAAAGAAGCAAACAAAACTGTATCCCCCTGGGTAAAGGGACCTTCTGAAATATTATTTCTCTGATGGTTTTTCTGTAACTCTTCTTGCTTTCCTCGGAGGTTATGCCCACTATTTAGATTTTTTACACCTGCTTAAAAAATACCAGTTTTAAGCCATAGAAAATTCTTTGATTAAATGAACACTGAGAAGCATCCATAAATTTCGTTTCCCCCCCCCCCAGATTTGTTTAATTTGAATTAGAAACAATATTGTTTTACATGACAATCCCAGTTGTCTCCCTCCCGTCCTCCCCTATCACCCCTCCCCCAACTAAAGCCCTACCTATCACATATCCTTTCTGCTCCCCCTACCGTCCTCCCTATCACCCCTCCCCAGTAAAGCCCTACCTATCACATATCCTTTCTGCTCCCCCTGGATGGTGAG